GCATAGCATATCATAGCACAGCATAGCATAGCATAGCATAGCTCAGCAGAGCAGAGCATAGCATAGCATAGCATAGCACAGCGCAGCATAGTATAGCATAGCATTGCTTATCATAACACGGTGCAGCATATCATAGCATCGCACAGCACAGCATGGCATAGCGTAACGTAGCGCAGCATGACATAGCATATCATATCACAGCATATCATATCGCAGTCTAGCATATCATAGCATCGCCCAGCATAGCATAGCATAGCGCAGCATAGCATAGTATATCATAGCATAACGTAGCGCAGCATAGCATCGCATATCATAGCATAGCATGCAAAGCAGAAACACAATCAATGCGAACGTGTATATGTAGATGTAGACGTAGGTGTATGTGTAGATGTGGATGTATGTGTAGATGTAGATGTAGATGTAGGTGTATATGTAGGTGTGGATGTAGATGTAGATGTGAGTATCGCTGTTGATGTTGAGGTAGATGTAGATGCAGATGTAGATGATACTGTAGCTGTCGATGTAGATGTAGATGTTGCTTTCCTAGATGCTCCAACTCCTAGGTAGGGTCGCACTGGGATAATAGCCCTATAGCCCTATACCCTTATAGCACCACAGCCCCATAGCCCTATAGCCCTATAGCCCTACAGTCCTATAGCCCTATAGCCCTATAGCCCTACAGTCCTATAACCTTATATCCTTATAGCCCTATAGCTCTATCGCCCTAGTGCTGTATAGCTCTATAGTCATATATCCCTAAAGCCCTATAGCCCTACAGCCCTGTAGCCCTATATCCCTATAGCCCTGTATACCTGTAGCGTTATAGCCTTATAGCCCTATAGCCCTATAGCTTTATAGCATCCCTATAGCCCTATTGCCCTATAGCCTTGTAGCCTTGTATCCCTATAGCCCTATAGCCCTGTAGCACTATAACCCTGTAGCTCTATATGCCTATAGCCCCATAGCCCTATAGCCCCAGAGCCCAATATCCCTAGAGCCCTATAGCCCTATGGTCCTTTAGACCTATAGCCCCATAACCTTATTTAGAACGAATGTGTGCGGCGCTAAGGCGAGAACCACATTTTTCAAACCACCGGCCCTCCACATGTGAAACTGTTGCCAATTTCGATGCTTCATAATCATCAATGGCGAGGAAGTCTTAGGCGACGCCCTGCCCGCACTAACAACTAGCCTCGGGGTACGATAGGGAGAAGTTATTCCCCACTCAGAGCTTGCCTCTGCAGGGGTGATAGCTGATTCATATGGTTAGGTGAGGTTTGCCACCGATTTCCGCGGCCCACCCGGATGCCAGGGTGCCCGTATGCCCGGGTCCCCAGGTGCCCAGGTGCCCGGTTGCCCGAGTGTTTTACAGCCCTGTAGCCCCATAGCGCCTATAGCCCAATGACCCTATAGGCCAATAGCCCTATAGCCCTATAGTCCTGTAGCCCTATAGCCTTATCGCCCTATACCACTATATCTCTAGAGCCCTATAGCTCTATGCCCTATAACCCTACAGCCCTACAGCTCAATGGCCCTATGGTCCTATAGCCCAATAGCCACATAGCCCCAGAGCCTCATAGCCCCATCGCCCTATAGCCCTACAGCCCTGCAGCCCTATAGCCCTACAGCCGTATAGTCCTATAGCCCTATAGACGTATAGCCCTATAGCCATATGGTTCCATCGCCCTATAGCCCCATCGTCCTATAGCCCGATTGCCCTATAGCCCTAACAAGGCTTTGATTGGGTTTCTCTCCAGTACCATATGGTTGAGTGAGGTTTGCCACCGATTTCCGTGGCCTGCCCGGGTGCCCGGGTGCCCTATAGCACTATAGCCTTAAAGTGTAAGTCTTACAGTCCTATAGCCCCATAGCCCAGTAGCACTATAGCTTTCTAGCCCAATAGCCCTATAGCCCTGTAGCCTTAAAGCCCTATGCCCTATCGCTCTATGGCACTACAGCTCTATAGCCCTACGACCCTATAGCTCTATAGCTCTGTTGCCCTATAGCCCTATGGCCCTATAGCCTTATAGCCCAACAGCTCTACAGCCCAATCGCCGTATAGCCTCACAGCCCTATTGCCCAATAGCCCAATAGCCCAATAGCCCTATAGCCCTATATCCCTATAGCCCTGTAGCCCTACAGCCTTATAGCCTTACAGCCCCATAACCCTATAGCCCTATAGCCCTATAGCCCTATAGCCCTATAGCCCTATAGCTCTATATGCCTATAGCCCTATAGCCCCAGAGCCCTATATCCCTGTAGTCCTATAGCCCCAATGTGCTATAGCCCTATAGCCCCATAGCCCTACAGACTCATAGCCCTATGGCCCTACAGCCCTATAACCCCATAGCTCCACAGCCCCACAGCCCTATAGCTGCACATCCCTATAATCCTATGGGCCTATATCCCTATATCACTCTATAGCCTTATAGGCTTATAGCCCTATGCCCCTATAGCCCTTTAGTTTCATAGCCCTATAGCCCCATCGCCCTATAGCCCA